GATTGAGTTGGAAACTTTGATGCCGCCTCTTGTTGAGCAAACATCTGACTTTGTGACCTGGGATGATGGCTCCACTCTATGCAGTTGGGCAAATCTCTCTTCTTTCTGTCTTGTTTCTGTCTCTTGACATTGGTGTGTGTGACTATTGTCCTTTCCTGCAAAAAGATTCAACACTTTTTTTTATATTACATTGAACATAAAAATTATAGACCTTTAGCTTGTCTTAATTTAATGTTACTTGAATGTATGTGACAGACAGTACAAAGAGCCCACTATTTGATGTGGTCCAGGCTGTTTCATTGTAGTTCTGCGCATAGAGTAGAAAGCCACTTACAGCTTTCCCTTTGAGCTCTAAACCAATTGAGAAAAAAATGAGAGTCATACAGAGTTTAAAATACCATCTTGGTTGCTGTAAAAAATGGATCAGATAACTCTACTTGTACCCAGGGTCAAAATAGACTTTTCACTCTTTGCCATCTCAATTGATCTTATTCAATGAAAGATCCAGCTAGAAGCAAAATGTTTCTCAGCTTTTTCTCTTGTGTTTAAATTTTCCCCAGGGAGTTGATTGAGAAGAGCATTTTGTCAAGGGAGTTTTGATCCATTAAAAGGACCATTATCTAAATATCATCTTCTATTACTATTATCTCATTATTAACACAAATCATTAATAACCATTTTCTTTCCTTCTAGACAACATTAGCATATTTGTCATACTATATACACAGTATATACAGAAAAGTATATACATTATATAAGTAATTGATTTCGTGGAAATTTCTAGGTGAGCATATCTGTCCCTCTATGCCCTTTGACCCTTGGAAATGTCCTAAATAATAAAGAAGCATACTTACTAAAGATAGAGATTTAGATACTGTATTAACAAAGCATATAGTACATCACATATATCCAAAACTATGTGAGAGATTGTACACAGGCACTAAAATTTCCCAGATATTCTCAGTCTTTAAGAAACTTTCATTTTGCTATTTCATTTTATTGATATTTTTGGGTCTTAATTCAGAGTGGGTGGTGACAGCAGTATTTTTTAAAGTCAATATATAAAGCAAAAATCCCTTCTAGACAAAATTACGTTTGAAAACCTATTAAATCACCCAGAATTCATGTCACAAAATCCATCAGCTAGCAATAATTCCAAGTACTGTACAGTCAAATTTGTCTCCAGAACAGGTCATTATTTCTTTAATTAGGCCTGAATGATACACTTTACTGGGGTTTAAAGGACATATTGTACACATGGAGTTGTATTTTGTGCAATATTTTTAGACAGAGAGCAACCTTCACATTATAGGAGACAGAAAAGAAATTAAGTCCTCAGAGGTATAGTGTATTAAATTATCCATTTCTCTCTCACTTTGGGTCACGACGAACTTGAATAACCCAAAGTAATGGATTAGTCTCTCTCTCACACATGCATACACACACATACAGTGTTTTACTGGTATGTAGAGTGTGTGTGTGTATATGTGTGTGTGTAATGTGCCTGCACTGTCGGTCCTCTCCAGATTTCTGCTTTTGCTTATGTTTCAAGTACACATCCTCTTAGCTTTCCCGGAACTCAATCACATGTATTTTTCTTCATCAAGTCTATGTTGGATGTATTTTTATTGAACTATGTGCATTACTCCATTGCTACTGCTAATTAAAGGTGGAGTCTACAGAGAAACTTATAAATGTGTATGAAATTTGTTTCAGGTATATTCCAACTCAACTGCTAATTTCCCCTTACCTTTTCTGAGGACTACATATAGAATTCATTCATGACAAATGTTCTGGGGAATCCACAGATTACAGGAATCTTGCTATACATATGTCCAGTTTTCCTTTGACTTGACATTCTCTTGTTACTGGAAGTTTTGATTAATTTCCCATGGAGAAGATAATTTGATTTCTGATGACAACCATCCCTTTTCTCTGTTCAAAAGTCATCGCTGTGACATCTATGATTTTCTTCCCATCTTTTCACATCATTCATCCAAGAAACTCTCTTAAATAAATTCTTCTCTGATATTGCCTTTCTATATGGTACATTACTAAAGTACATTCTTGAGAACAGACATGTTTTATGAGATGGTGTTCATGAAAACTTCTCATGGTGCATGAAAGCATGTGTGCATGTCTCTGTGTTGAAGAGAAGTCTAGTTTTTGACAAGCAGAACTAAATGTCAGAATAAATATCTCTTTTGAAACTGATGTGGCATAAATGATTGACATTTTGTTCTTAGAAAAGAAGAAGACTCTATCTTTTGTCATAGAATAGAAGGTTTCTCATAAATTATCATTTTTGATATGTTTGCATAGGACTTATGTATGAGAAGCTTACTGCAAATACTTGCTTTTTACCATTAATATAAGTATTAATAGAATTCTAAATCATTCCATTGATCTTTTTTCTTCTTAATTCAAATGAATTAATTCCTGAAATGCTGATCTATCTCAAACTTCCTCATCCTCCTGGGTCTCTGCAACTATATTCACTTCTATCATCAAGCAATTTAAATGACTATTAAAGAGAAAAATAACTTGGGCTTCCCATATACCAAATAATTCATAGCACAACTTGCTGTCATTTCTGTTTTATGAATTTATCTTTCAAGTTTCATAGTACATTTTAGGTGCAGACTTAATGTGGAAATACTGTAAGCTCAGCCCAGTGCATTTATTAAAATTAAATTATTATTAGAAAAGCAGTGTATAATAGAATGATTATTATTAATAAAGTAAATTAAATTCTCCAATATTATGATTAACTTTAGAATGTCTACTATCTATTAAAACCTTTGTGCCAAAAGCTGTACAAATTATCTTAATTTTCTAAATTAGCCTCTTAGGAATCCTTCAAAAATGCATTATTTACTGTGTCTTAAAGATTAGAAAACTAAGGTTCAGAGGTCACACTACTAGTAACACTTGTTAAGTGATTTAATGATGCAACATCTGCATATGTATTATTTCAATATATGACATAAGTATATATAAGTGACCTGGAGATTCTACAGATTAAACATCATTTAAAAGGATCACATTCATGTAACAATAACGACTACTGTTATTACTAACTTATAAATTTGTTGACAACAGTGAGTCTGAATCCATACTACATTCCCCAAAATAGGTATTGCATAAAGGTGTTTGGTATTTAACAATAATGGTCATTGAATAATTTGTGGGGTGGCTGGCCTGAAGATTGCAAGTCCTACATGTTACTAGCCTGGAGTGTTTCAAGAAGTAGTCACTCAACAACTTTTCTGAATTCTATTCAAAAATAAATTCTATTTATCTTTATTGTTGACAATTGTTCTATATTAAAGAAAGGGAAATCATAAACCCTACCAATGCTATAAGGCTCAATTTTCTTTCTAGAAAAATGCAAGGAAAAAATATTTACATATTATCTTCCTTCTAAAAGAAAATTAACCCTCTAAAGGCTCTTTAATGATGACCAAAAAAACTAGGAAAGCCAAGAACTCCTTTACCAGACTATGCATCACAAATGGTAAGAGCTTTACTTGAAATTATAAGCTGAGTCTCAAAAGGTGAGAAGGATTTGGCATTTGGAACTGGACCCACCAACATCTATATCTTGTCTTCTATCAACCACCTGCTAATCCACAGGAATCTCAAGTAGGGTATCCATATTCAGGACGTAGTTAGGCAAAGTTGCTGGTTGTCTCTTTGGCCCTAAATTCTCATAAAACTTTATTTCTGGTAAGCAGAGCTAGATTACCTTGAGAGAGGAGAACCTCTTTGGTCTTCATTAGATTAGTTGGCTAAACCTTTATCCCAACCTTAATTCATGGACTTATAATAAATTGGAGATGTGCACCACTTAACAACCAAGCAAATCTCCCAAACAGCATCTTCGATTTTCATGGAGGCAGGGTCAGACGATGGACGATGGCTTTCTAAATGAAAGTCACAGGTAGAAACTGTGTGAAGATTCCATTCCCAACACAAGTGACCTTATTACTGTCTTGCTATAATCAAGCTGAACCAAAATTCCTCCTACGTGAGAGTGAGCATGGGAAGCATTGGAGGAGGGTAATTTAATCTTATCATTGATGACAGTTCACCACTTTTCTTTTCTTTTAATTCAGTGAGTTTAATAGCCAAACATTAAGAGAGCAGAGACATTGATGTCTCTGAGGAGAAATGTAAGAGATGCTTTGTTACCTTTATAGAATCAATTACATAATTATCTTTACTACTCTCATGTAATTTTTCTGAGAAGAGTAAAATGGGAAGTCCTGCACCTTATTATCTTTATAAATGTCATACCGATGCTGGCCAAAGAAAGTCTGATTTCCACCTGGATGATCCTTAAATTTCTTTAAAATTATCTTGCATATAATACACCAGAAGAATAACAAATCCCATTATTTTTGTTCTTTAATCAAATTGACCTTAATTATTTTAACAGTTTTATTGGATATTTCAATGTGTAACTCATGATAGCATAGCTTACATTATTTGGTTCCTGTTAAATGTCCATATTCTGCTACTGCACTGTAACCCTTAGTAAATAAACATCCATGCATCTTTAACTAGACCCGAACTATAGAGAAATTAAAGTTCTCCATGTTATTTCCCCCCCTTCCCCTTTCATACAGGGAAATTAAAGTCCCAGTAAATATTCTTCTCTAAAGATTATATAAATGTCAGGTGAAGATTTGCTCTCAAGCTCCAAATCAGTACACATAAAAGGCCAGTAAAACCACATAGGAATGGTTAAGCTTAAGCTGTAGTGACCTGGGACTTAGACACAAAACAGTGAATTAACTCCCTTAATTCTTTCTCTAGAAGCTCACTACTGAATTCTAGATGTAACCACTTACAGGGAACATGATAGATTAAAGGTAGAAGCTAGTGATAAGAACAGAGAATAATCTCCACTACACGTTGACTTGATAGCTCTCATTATGTCTATACTACTAGAAAATTATGCTTACTATCTTAGCAATCTATTTTCCTTTTTGAAGGTTGATAAACTGAAAAGGAACTGTGACCTGTTCTATAGAATTCTCATGTACAAAAATAAATCTAGCATTGGAGTCTATCTTTGTATATACACCTAAGTATATCTACATCACAGGATGAGAGGATAAAGGACAGGACAATGATGGAAAGCAGGCTGCGGTGAGTCAACCATCAAATGTCTTGGAACGCAAGTGCAGTTGTTTGGTTATTTGAAGTCAACATTTCTTAATTGTTTAAGCATTTGTAACAAAGAGATTGATTGGCTGGACTTGATAGTTTTGTGAATTATCCTTGCAGGTTTAACATGCAATAAACATACTTTTCAGTTACAAATAATGTCTCCAAGATATCAAAACTAAAATTAGATTCAAACAAGACATCGTGCTACATCTATAAGCTAAAGTAAGTCATTTACAATAAAGGACACTTGCTTCTTCTAAAGAAAAAAATCTTGAAAATTGTCCCTGAGAGTAAAATTCTTGAAGAAGTTTCCAGAATAGATTTGAGATTAAAACTCACAAATTTCTTGTGCAATCTAAACGTAACTAAGCACTATGATTCACCCAAGCAGTGAGGCATATTACCTTTGAACGTCATACATTGCTTTGTGTTTCACATTGTATTTAACCAAATTAGAGTGACAGAAATTGGCATAAAAATAACTTAAATGACGTCAACCATTGGCAAAAATTACATAAGGAAATTATTAGAAGAAAGCATATCATATTTTCTAATATTCCAAGCATGGATTCATACGATTAGGCAATGTTAGTTTCCAAAACAAGTTGATTTTTAAGACCCTTGTGAAACTCAACAGGACTGATGATAGCTGCTTTTGACCTAAAGAGCTTCTTCTAATGAGACCCCTTCTCTCTCTCCTTGTCTCTTTTCTTTCTCTCTCTCTCTGTCTCTCTCTCCTACTCTATGCACAGTGTACGAGGGGGAATATTTCTCTACCTTCCCATAAGGTTTGCTCCCAGAGGAAGACCCAGTCCTGCAAGGTGATGCCTGCAGTTCTGCAGGTAGTTTCAACTTGGCAGCAGTATATAGTGAAGCCCAAAATGACTGTACATCTAATCATATCCTGCAATCCATATTTTTATATTAATAAATTAAAAACTAATACCCATAAGCTGATTGCCTTATCTGTTTCTCATGCAATTCTGAACTCAGAGGAAGGGATGGAAGATGCTACTAAACCCTAAAAACTCCAACACTTTCCTAAATTGTAATTTGAACCAGACTCCATTCTTGTTAAATGTTTTACATGATCTCTTGTAGCCCAAGAAAGCATAAATTGTTACTATAGGCTAAACACAGTTCAAATTATTTGACTGGATTAGTTATTATTGCAAATAAGTAAGGTAGACATAATTTTTCCAGTTTTATATATGAGGTCACTGAAGGTCATAGAAAAGGACTAAGATGTTGAGAAGCTCCAAGCCCTGCAAAGATTTGTGTATCCTTCCACATACGATTAATTGTCCCTTTGCTTGAAGCTCATTACGTGTGATCAGACCCTCAATTAGGCTGCAGCACAGGGAGGTCAGAAAGGTTAGCTAACTGGTCAGTGGCTGAGCCAAGAGTCTGAAGCCAGAGCTCAGTCTTCTGCACTCTGACATTATCGTGCTCGTTTAGCCTGAAAATTCAGTCCTGCTGTCTTCCTTGTCTCATAATTTCCTATAATGCAGGAGTTGAATTCCTTTCAAATCTCTAGACTGCACTGTTTGTTTTCATTACGACTTATCAAAGTTTTACTATAAATATACTCAGTTAAATCACTCTTTCTTGTAACATTAAAATATTCTAATAAATGATCTATATTTTCATCCCTTGGCAACCTAAAGGATTTCCCAAATGTTTGCCATCTGATTCCCATCTAAAGAAGGGAATACAATCATAGTCGTCCTACCCAGTTTGAATCCTTTCCAAAATATGTTCTCTTTTCTTAATGGTTGTCATCATTACTTCCATGTTCTTCCTAAACTTTTATTCTGTATTTTTCAGGTTTCTTCCAAGTCACTTTGGCCACTGGATGAGATGGGAATAGCATATAAAACATGGTCCCAAATATTGGAGATGAGAGACAGGCATATGATGGCAGAGTGTAGAAATGAATCTTTATTGTAATTTACCTATTTAGTTCTTCATGAGCTTTATTTTATAAAATGAGGAAAGACAAAAGTGGAAAAATTATGAGGAAAGACTTACTGCAGCAGATTTCAGTGAAGGCTGTGGTTGAATAGAGGCAAGGCTTAAATGCAGTTAACAGCATTTTTCCTTAACCTTGTCCATGACATTGAGAACAACCTAGGATATGGCTGTCAGTGCACAGTATAACACAGTATAACCCATACGTAAGTTTCCCTTGTTAAATTCTTTAATATATATGTTTTTCGTGCTTGTAACACCTTTATAGCATATATTTATGGACACCCTTATAGGCATCTTTTTCTAACAGCAAGTTGGAAGGTGCTACATAGTACTCAAACTCTCCAAGGGCCTTTGAATACCCATGAGAACAATGAGATATGTGAATGAATGGGATCTAGAACAGAGGCAGAATTACTGTTTGTTTTCGCAGTCGAGTGTCTTGTTACCATAAGCGCTATGTCTAAATGCTACATATTAGCTGTATCAGTAGTTGCCCAATACACAATGAAAGAGAAAATTTACACCAAATCATTTTGAAAGTGCCATATGTATCATTATGCTTCTGATTTTAGAAAAGCGGTAAATTAAAGGTTCATATGGAAACATCAGTTAATTAGGTAGGTAAATATCTCTTATAAAATAGCCTAGTTATAAAATAAATAGTCAATATTTTGAGTATATTTCCAAGAAGTTAAAATGCCTGAAACACTAGCTAGGATAAGAAGTAGTTGGACTAATTTTTATGCCTTTTAATTTTTAAATACAGAGCCAATAAAACATATTTTCATATCTAAAAATATTCATGTAAAAGTAATGAAAGCTATAGCTTCCATTATGAGTGGTGGTGTTTTTTTTCTAAGTGTTATTGTTTTTACTACGCTTATAGAAAATTGTGAACTGTTACCTATATTTTGTATTGCTTGCTTTCTTAAAAAATTGATTTGTATTCCAGAAATATCATACCAAATATATTTTATCAGTTTTCTCATTTTCATAAAGAGGTTTGCTATTGTTGACAGATGATAAAATATGAATATTTAAAAATTATGTAGTTTAATGGTTGAGCAAGTACTTATATGAATATAAAAATAGTAAACAAAATTAGCAAAGTATTAACAATTGTAGAATCTAGGTGGTGAGTAAACAGATATCGTTCTACCATTCTTTCAGCTTTTCTCTATGCTTAATAATATATAGTTATAAAATTATTTCATTTAATGGTTTATTGCTTAACTCTGAGTGCTTGAAAGGTAACGACTGAGTTTTTACTTCACGTTTTATCACCCAAATTCAGTAGAATGCCTAACACATGTACAGCATTCAATGGATGGATATGAAGAAAGTGAACACAAATAAAAATAAAGTTGAATAAATGAATCAATAAAGATTCTAGGGGTAGGAATTGTGAATGATTCACTATATTGTGTTTTATTTCATATTAAAGAGAATAAATGAAAGAACCCAAGGTGGACAGAAACTGATAATGAGACTGATGAAATGATAGCAGCTGGAACAGAGGGCAAGAGAAAATTAAATCAATTCACTCCGCCTAATCCACCGTTGCTTACCGTTCCACAGTAAGTGCAAGTGTAAGATCTTGGCATCCTAGTGCTTTGAGCCACGTTTTGCCAATGAGGGAGCTGCAGCAGAAGGAAAGTTGAAATTACTGATCCCAGTGGAGTCTGAGTGTCTCCTTAAGTGAGAATGCTTTCAAGTTCCCGACACCGATTCTATCTCTGTCAGCACTTTCATCCTGCTTGACATGGTTACCTCTCAAAATATTTTTTTTTCTTTTGATTTGTTTATAGGTACTAAATTCTACCATGGTCCATTAACAGACTTTTTAATATGCAGATGAATAAGCACTACTACTTAGTGCTAATTGGTTAATCAATCAAAGAATTTTTTACTTATTTCCCATAGTCTCAAGATAATGAAGGTCATTTTTGTGTTTGAAAAATGCCTTTCAGTAAAGCCTGGAGCCAAGTAAAAACAGAGGAGATGAATAGCAATAATGATCTTTGTAGTATTATATAGCTCGTTTATTTTCCCATTAACAGAGCTTATTTTTGTGGGCTTATTATAAGGCAGTGAAGAAACACTACACAGACTGACATGTCATTACCACACATGAGCGTATAAAAATTAGTGTTTGAAAGTACAATTAGAGTTGCAGTTGCATTATCACTATATCCCTTGTGAATTAACTTGGTGCTAAACTACTGATACATAAATAACTGTCACTGTCCTTAATCGTATGTGTTAAAGTTTTGACTTTTATATTCAAATCATCGTTTATAAAAATAGTCTGCCAATTGAGGAACATATTCAAAATCCTGTCTATATTATGTTGCTGATTTGGTAAACTTTGTGATTTGTCCTTTACTTGGCACTTATTAAGTTCTCACTGGGCGAAGGTGCTGCATTGTGAACTGACAGGAAGAGGAGAATTCAGTGTAAGATGCTGCTGAACACAGTGCATGTAGCTATAATTTGTTTGAAAGGCAGCTGTCATCCACCAATGCCATAAATGACAAAAAGGGCCCAAGACTCGTGGTAGACGTCATGCTTCACTAGCTAGGCTACACACAGTGCCTAAGCATCTGTCTAGCACCAAACCTCCCAGAGCTTTTAGGCTAGCCTACATTCCCTGTACTTGCGACACTACAGTCAAAACACAGTCCACGTCATCTCCTCCCTGAATCTTAATATAAAATGGTCAGACGCTTAAGAGAAAACCAGCTCCCCCAGGGCCCAGTTACTTCCTTTTTAAAATGAGGGGGCTGACTTAGGTGATCTTCCCTATTCATTTTAGTGCTAATAGTATACAGACAGGTATTTTCAGAAGCATTTCATCTCTGGCTTCCCTGCTCTGATGGCTGTTACCCATAATCAAGCAGTTATTCAATAGTAAGGGGGTCAGCGTGATGGAACATCTTGTTGAGGATGTACCAGTGAGTGGACGTGAGGACAGACAAATCTGGGTGATGCTTTAATCATTTCTCCCGTTAGAAAAGACAAGGAAGGGAACGGCACTTCACTTTATCTTTCCAGTGATGTATCTTACATGGGAGTAAATGAGTGGACAAACTTTAAATATTTCATAAATATGTTTATCCTTATATACATGGAAGTGAAAAATGAACAATTTGAGTTTCTTGTGGTGCCAGGAACTGAGAATCAGAGAAAGGGAGCAAGAGTAGGAGTATATATTTAGGGCCTTTCAACAGGTTTACTTACTAACTTAGAAGGGTTGTGCTATGGGTCTGGCTGCCTCTGTAAAGTTGGCAGGTACAGATTTGAAAAGATGCAACAGCTTCATCCCAGCTCACTCAGCTCAGCACTGAGGGTTCCAAGTCACAAAGCAGCCCACCATAGAGCTGAACGAAACGGTGAAAAGGCAGGTGAACGTCATCCTATATAGTGTTCTGTTTGGGATATTGTAGCTCAGCATTTAGTGTCATGTTAGAAGGCCTAGGGTGAAGAGTGAGTTGATCCTACAAAGGATGTCAGGGGCCAAACCCACTTGCCAGCCCTGGACCTACTACATCAGGATCAGATGACTCAGGGTGGGGATGCTAGGTGCCAGAAGTCACCAGTAAGTCATGGATCCTCTTCATTTCATACACAGGGAGTACTTATTAATCCAATAAAAATTAATTGTTCTTTTTAAATGCCTAATCTGACTGGTAGCAAAGGAGGCTATGATAAACAATTATAGCCTCTAGGGGAGCCTCTATTTCAACTAAGGAAGTGTGAGATAGTTGTAGGAGAGATAACTTATTAAAATGACACTATTTCTGAGTGCTGTTCGATAACAGGAACCATTTTCACAAGTCCCGAGAGCCAATTTGTTTGATGTCTTAATGGTCAATGATAAATCCAGCATTCAATTATCAGACTTCATTTCAGCTGGCGTATGAGCAGCATTTGACATTATTGACATCTCCCTCCTGGCAGACACACTGTCTTTTCTTGGTATCCAGGATACCAAACTTTCTCTGTTTCCCTCCTCACTCATGAGTAGCCCCGTTTTTCAGTCTTGTGTGCTGATTTAACCCTTTCCATATGACCACTTAATGTTGTCCCTGCGCCAGAACTCAGTCCTTCATCTTTTTCTCATTGGTGTCTGCACTTGTATTTTTAGTGTTCTCACACAGTCTCAAGGCTTCTCACCTGTTTGTACACTATTCCTAAACATAAATCTCTGACTCCCCCTATTTTAAACTCCAGACTTGTATACCCAACTGCACACTTAACTTCTCTACTTGTAAAGGTAAAGGACGTTCAAAATTCACATGTTCAAAACTCAGCTGAACCTTCCCCAGCTCATTTGAAATTAAATTCTTATTTCCATTTGCTCAGACTAACATCCTTAGAGTTATTATTGATTCACATTTGTTTTTTATCTCCCGACCTACATCTGCTTTTCCAACATGAAATCCTGCTGGCTATAGCTGTGTGTAGAATCTGATCTCTTCTTTCCGCATTAACTGCTGTAACATTGTCCCAGAGTAATATCAGCTTTTGCCATCCAAAATGTTTATAATATCAGAATATTATGAACAATTTATGAATACTATAATTATTTTTCCATGTGTGTAGTGACAATATCTGGGGTTTTTTTCCGGGACACAGCCCTTGGCACTTCTAGGAGCTCACTGATTAGATAGATAGATAGATAGATGAAATAATAAATAGAAATAATTAGTTGCTTCATATTAAGTTACAAAACTTAGATTTTAAAAAATTTAATTTGTAAAGTTGGAGAGAGAAGACAGAGTTTCTTCCGCAAAATGTAACCATAAAATTTGAGATTGATCAAGTATGGGAAGCAAATTTTAATTTTCAATCTCAGACCCATTGTAGGAGGAGAAATAATGGCTCTGCAAAGATGTGCATGTCCTAATCCTCAGGACCTGTTACATGGCAAGGGGGAACTATGGCTGCGCATGGAATTAGTTGCTAATCAGCTGACCTTAACATAAAGAAATTATCCTAGACTATCTGTGTGGGCCCAATGTCATTGCAAAGGTCCTGGAAAGTGGACTAGGGAGGCAGGGAAGGAGATCACTGACAGAGATTTGAAGATGCTAAACCCCTGACTTTGAAGGTGGAATCAGGGGCATGAGCTAAGGAATGCAGGGAGTGCCTAAAAGCTGGAAAAGAAAGAAAACAAATTTTCCCCTAGAGCCTGAAAAAAGAGACACAGCTCGGTTATTCCCTTGGTTTTAACCAAGGGAGACCCATTGCAGCCTTGCGACTTCCAGAATCGTAAGATAGTAAATTTGCGTTCTTTGAAGCCACTAAATTTGTCATCATTTATTGCAGCACTATCAGGAAATGACCTTATCCACTCAAATCCTAAAATCATACTTTTTTCTTTTTAACAATTCATCTTTTTTTTACCTGCATAAAATACGTGGATAAACTTTAAATGTTTATCTTTACGGAGCCTCACAATGTTATCTTTCACATTATTTTGATGATTTATCTTGCTTTGTAACTATTTCCTGACACTTAGTCATTTATTCTTATTACTCTGCAGTTTTGTGCACTTTATTGTCCAACATGCTGCTTCCTGCCCACTGTTTCTCCAGGGTTTTGGCTTCGTATCTCTTTTATTCCACAGCTCCTGCATTAATCTTTTGCTGACCCTGCTGGTACTGTGTCACAGATATCTTCCACTTAATGTACCTCCCACTGGCACGGTTCTCAAACAACATTTATCAGTCTTGCCTGATAGGAAGTGAAAATCAGTTTCCAGAGTCATGTGGAAATTTGACAACTATTTTACAAAGGAAAATTATCTTAGTACACTTAAGAAATATAGCCATGTATGATTACCCTTTGTATTAGAATATATTTTGAAATATGTAAGCATAAATGAGTAAATGAAAGAGAAATGTGTGCGTGTTCTGGTTTAATATAAGGAAGCTTTTAGACATCATTTTTTGATGTATCACTTCATTCACTTTGTCATGTACCTCAAGTTTTTCAGCTGTGCAACTTCTAAAACTTATTTCCCTCTTCTTAAACCCCAATTCTTGCTTTCTGGTATTACTGTAAAGCCATGTCAGTAAATATTCCTAAGTAAATAACAGTAAATTATACAAAATAATCCAAAAGCCAGATTTAGATATAGATGTATAGATATAGATATGGCTTCACTATTTTAGAAAAAATGAGTTTATTATTTTTAGAGAAATAATTCATAATGTAAAATTCCAGTAAGAAAGAACAAAAGGCTGAAAGTAAATAAATCAAAATTTATCAAAACCAATGTTAAATAATCATAAATATTAAGTGACTATAATTTAAAATCTGTCAGTCCTATATAATAGAAAAATTAAATTGATTAAATTATGGTATCAAAAAATCTTATATATATATATATATAACTAGAGTTGGTAGCATGATATTTATATTTTCCCTTAGAGAAAAATAAAACATGAAAATATTCTTTTAGAGCTGAAAGCTTTGCTAAACTTCCAGACAAATGTTTTACTGATACAAGAAATTTGTTTCTAAAGTTCTCCTCTGAATAAAGAGTACGCAAAAGTATTAGGAGGCTGAAATAACATGGATTTGTAAATGTATGCTTCAGTTGTAGGAGTCCTACAAATAGATCTTTGTCAGGCATGATGAAGTCTGCACTCCCAGGCAACATTCCACATCCATTCACTGACTAGGTGAGCGTATCATTATTTGTATTCTGTCAAGCTTTATAATATTTATAATGTGTCACAGTAATCCCCTTAGTTTATTCTTATTTCTCTAATTGATTGAATGCTCATTATATTCTATACGTATCTTCTCTATTAACAAATAATTTATTTTTATTTCTTGATGAACTGAATTTATTGCCAATAATTTATTTTTAAAAGAAGAGATTACAGGGGCTGGCCCCGTGGTGCAGTGGTTAAGTGCACGCATTCCACTTTGGTGGCCCGGGGTTCACTGATTCGGATCCTGGATGAGGACATGGCACCGCTCGGCAAACCATGCTGTGGTAGGCGTCCCACATATAAAGTAGAGGAAGATGGGCACGGATGTTAGCTCAGGGCCAGTCTTCCTCAGCAAAAAAGAGGAGGATTGGCAGCAGATATTAGCTCAGGGCTAAACTTATCCCCCCCAAAAAAAACAAAAAACAAAAAGAAAAGAGAAGAGATCATAATTGTAATATTTCTAAGAGTTCAGGCAATTGACAATAACAGCTGATTGCTTTTACATTCGAGGGTGAAACTGGCTGGCTGTAACATTACTGTATCCCACATTCCTTCCTTTAGGACTTTGATAATTGCTCTGCCCTCTTTTTGCACTGAGATTCCTGTAGTTAATTACAGCAATTAATTTGAGCCTAGCTCAACTTCTTCCTCTTGTGGATGACTCACTTTTGCTATTTGAATCCCTAAGGATTTGTTTCTTTTTCCTAGAGGGTAAATAACTGTAAATTATAGTTGACATAATTGTTCTATATCAAATTTTCCTAGAATATGAAATGCACGTTTTCTTAAAATTCAATTATTCCTCCACTCCAGGGAATTTTTCATGAATTATATCTTTGAATATCTTTTCTCTTCCATTTGTTCAATTCTGCAAGTAGAAGCCATAAAATATCTATATGTTCAATTTTTTAAAAGTTTGTTATGTATCTCGTCATTAACAGCTATAAAATTTGTCATTTTCTTCTGTATTCAATTATTGCTAGATATTCAATTTTCATTCATGCTTATTTATTCTCTTGCTGATTCTACTAAATTTATTAAGTCTGCAAAGATGTATTTTTAATTCTCAAATTTTGTCCTCAACTCTCAAAGTCCCTTTTTTATTATTTGTAAGAAATCATTTGAAGTATAACATAAAAGATGAAAGTTTTATCTTTACCTCCATAATTTTATATTTATATTTAAAATTTAAAAACTCCTACAAATTAGTAATAAAATAGACAGAAAAATGGCTAATGTCTTGAACAGCCACTTAAAAAGGAATTCCAAATGCCCAATAAACATATGAAAAGACATTCGATTTTATTCGGCCTCAGCATTACAACCGACCGCATTTGGATTTCAGTATACTCCTATCAGGAGGGCCAAATTACGGATGGAAAAGGCCAGGTGTTGTCAAGTCTGTGGACTAACTGGAACCTAATACAGAGTTTGTGCAACTGTAAATTAATATAACCATTTGGAAAATTGTAGCAGTGTCTTTAAACATGAACATTAGCCTACGCTATGACTCAGCAACTCCACTTCACAGTAGTGTATGCATATGATTACCATGAAGCAATTTTTTACCCTCTTACTGTTCTTTTTTTTTTGAGGAAGATTAGCCCTGAGCTAACACCTGTCACCAATTCTCTTCTTTTTTTCTGAGGAAGACTGGCCCTGAGCTTACATTCTTGCCACCTTCCCCTACTTTATACATGGGACGCTTGCCATAGCATGGCTTGACAAGTAGTACATAGGTCCGCACCCGGGATCCGAACCAGCGAACCTGGGGCTGCTGAAATGGAATGTGCAAACTTAACTGGTATGCCACTGGGCCAGCCCCTGACTGTTCTTTTTAATGCTTCCTTAGCTATTCATGGTCTACTTGTTGTCAAATATTGCTGTTTACTGGAAAGTAGAATGAAAAGGGAAAAGAAAAAATAAAGGTCATGCTTCTTATCGCTGTTGCTTTTTTTTTTTTTATTAATGTTATGATGGATTACAACCTTGTGAGATTTCAGTTGTACATTTTTGTTAGTCATGTTGTGGGTACACCACTTCCCCCTCTGTGCCCTCCCCCCACTCCCCCTTTTCCCTGGTAACCACCGATCAGATCTCCATATCAATATACTAAATTCCACCTATGAGTGGAGTCATATAGAGTTCGTCTTTGTCTGACTGGCTTATTTCGCTTAGCATAATACCCTCGAGGTCCATCCACGTTGTTGTGAATGGGCCAATTTTGTCTTTTTTTATGGCTGAGTAGCATTCCATTGTGTATATATACCACATCTTCTTTATCGAATCATCAGTTTCTGGGCATGTAGGCTGGTTCCACGTCTTGGCTATTGTAAATAATGCTGCGATGAACATAGGGGTGCAACGGACTCTTGAGATTTCTGATATCAGGTTCTTAGGATAGATACCCAGTAATGGGATGGCTGGGTCATAGGGTATTTCTATTTTTAACTTTTTGAGAAATCTCCATACTGTTTTCCATAGTGGTTGTACCAGTTTGCATTCCCACCAACAGTGTATGAGGGTTCCTTTTTCTCCACAACCTCTCCAACATTTGTCACTCTTGGTTTTGGATGTTTTTGCCAATCTAACGGGGGTAAGGTGATATCTTAGTGTAGTTTTGATTTGCATTTCCCTGATGATTAGCGATGATGAACATCTTTTCATGTGTCTATTGGCCATATTCATATCTTCTTTTGAGAAATGTCTGTTCATGTCCTCTGCCCATTTTTTGATCGGGTTGTTTGTTTTTTGGCTGTTAAGCCGTGTGAGTTCTTTGTATATTATGGAGATTAACCCTTTGTCGGATAAGTGGCTTGTGAATATTTTTTCCCAATTAGTGAGCTGTTTTTTTGTTTCAATCCTGTTTTCCCTTGCCTTGAAGAAGCTCTTTAGTCTGATGAAGTCCCATTTGTTTATTCTTTCTATTGTTTCCCTCAACTGAGGAGTTACAGTGTCCGAAAAGATTCTTTTGAAACTGATGTCAAAGAGTGTACTGCCTATATTCTCTTCCAAAAGACTTATTGTCTCAGGTCTAATCTTTAGGTCTTTGATCCATTTTGAGTTTATTTAGGTGTGTGGTGAAAAAGACTGGTCAATTTTCAATCTTTTGCATGTGGCTGTCCAGTTTTCCCAGCACCATTTGTTGAAGAGACTTTCTTTTCTCCATTGTAGGCCCTCTGCTCCTTTGTCGAAGATTAGCTGTCCATAGATGTGTGGTTTTATCTCTGGGCTTTCAATTCTGTTCCATTGATCTGTGGACCTGTTTTTGTACCAGCACCATGCTGTTTTGATCACTGTAGCTTTGTAGTATGTTTTGAAATCGGGGATTGTGATTCCGCCGGCTTTGTTTTTCTTGCTCAGGATTGCTTTAGCAATTCGCGGTCTTTGGTTGCCCCATATGAATTTTAGGATTGTTTGTTCAATATCTGTGAAGAATGTTCTTGGGATTCTGATTGGGATAGCATTGAATCTGTATATTGCTTTAGGTAGTATGGACATTTTAACTATGTTTATTCTTCCAATCCATGTGCAAGGAATGTCTTTCCATCTCTTTATGTCATCGTCAATTTCTTTCAAGAAAGTCTTGTAGTTTTCATTGTATAGATCCTTCACTTCCTTGGTTAAGTTTATCCCAAGGTATTTTATTCTTTTCGTTGTGATTGTGAATGGGATTGAGTTCTTGAGTTCTTTTTCTGTTAGTTCATTGTTAGTGTTTAGAAATGCTACTGATTTATGCACGTTAATTTTATACCCTGCTACTTTGCTGTAGTTGTTGATTATTTCTAATAGTTTTTCTGTGGATTCTTTGGGGTTTTCTATATATAAGATCATGTCGTCTGCAAACAACGAGAGTTTTACTTCTTCGTTACCTATTTGGATTCCTTTTATTTCTTTTTCCTGCCGAATTGCTCTGGCCAGCACCTCCAGTACTATGTTGAATAGGAGTGGTGAAAGTGGGCACCCTTGTCTTGTTCCTGTCCTCAGAGGGATGGCTTTCAGTTTTTGTCCATTGAGTATGATGTTGGCTGTGGGTCTATCATATATGGCCTTTATTATGTTGAGGTACTTTCCTTCTATACCCATTTTACTGAGGGTTTTTATCATAAATGGGTGTTGGATCTTGTGGAATGCTTTCTCTGCATCTATTGAAATGATCATGTGGTTTTTGTTTTTCATTTTGTTGATGTAGTGTATCACGTTGATTGACTTGCGGATGTTGAACCATCCCTGTGTCCCTGGTATAAATCCCACTTGATCATGGTGTATAATCTTTTTGATGTATTGCTGTAATCGGTTTGCCAAAATTTTGTTGAGGATTTTTGCATCTATGTTCATCAGTGATATCGGCCTGTAGTTCTCCTTCTTTGTGTTGTCCTTGTCAGGTTTGGGGATCAGGGTGATGTTGGCTTCATAGAATGTGTTAGGGAGTTCTCCATCTTTCTCAATTTTCTGGAACAGTTTGAGGAGAATAGGTATTAAGTCTTCTTTGAATGTTTGGTAGAATTCTCCAGAGAAGCCGTCTGGTCCTGGACTCTTATTTTTGGGGAGATTTTTGATTACTGTTTCTATTTCCTTACTTGTGATTGGCCTATTCAGATTCTCCGTTTCTTCCTGATTCAGTCTGGGGAGATTGTAGGAGTCTAGGAATTTGTCCATTTCTTCCAGGTTGTTCAATTTGTTGGCATATAGTTTTTCATAGTATTCTCTTATGATCTCTTGTATTTCATTGGTATCTGTTGTGATTTCTCCTCTGTCATTCCTAATTTTATTAATTTGCGATTTCTCTCTTCTTTTCTTGGTGAGTCTGGCTAGGGGTTTGTCAATTTTGTTAATTCTTTCAAAGAACCAACTCTTTGTTTCATTGATCCTTTCTATTGTCTTTTTTGTTTCAATATCGTTTATTTCTGCTCTTATTTTTATTATTTCCCTCCTTCTACTGACTCTGGGCTTTGTTTGTTCTT